GTGCTGTTAGAACCCCAAGTCATCACTCAGGATCCAGCTCCCTGCTCCCCTCATGGCTGTCTTTGCCCCCCTCGGGATGCACTGGTCTCGCCTGTCATACCAAGTGCCACCCCCTCCAGGCACACTGGCTCTTCTCTCTGCCTGGAACACTCCCACCAGGTACCCCCACACTCACTTTCTTCAAGTCTTAAATGCACCTCTGGCAGCCTACCTGATCACTATTTAAGTGCAGTTTCCTCCGCCCACCTGATTGTTTTCTGTTTATGTTACTTTTAGCATACCATTTGTATCTACTGTTTACTATTGCCTTCCACTAAAATTCAAGTACATTAAAGGGCAGAGTCTTTGTGCTGTTTGCTGATGAATTCACACAGGTGTGGGTTCAGGCCTGGCCTCAATGTGAGCTCCTCAGTGCATCACTGAATGAATGATGAAGCAGCTGTACAGTTCTAGTGTGATGAGCCATGAGAGCCTGTGTCGAATCCTGGTCCTGTCATAAGTTATGCGATTCTACACAAATATTTTAATCTACCTGGAGAGAGAAGGAAGGGAAGCCTGTGAGTGAGGTGGACTGAATGTAACAGTGGGCCCAGTATAGAGGTGGACTGAATGTAACAGTGGGCCCAGTATAGCAGAGATGAGGATGGCACAGGGCAGTGCAGGGTTCAGGTTCATTGCTAATAGGGTCGCTGTGAGTCAACTCCACAGCACCTAACGAGAAGCCTCAGGGAGCTCTGGTGCTGTAGGGTCTAGGAAGTTGCATTGCTCACCCAAAGGCCATCCATCTCTGTTGGTTTGAATCCACCAGCCATTCTTTGTAAAAATGATGGTCAGTGTCCTCCCGTGCAATTGACAGCCTCAGCCAATCGAACGTCAGCTGGGCTGCTTCCAGCTGATGGCAATGAGTTTGCATGCTATGGGGTTAGTTGAATGGGGTTTGCCGAGTCTCTTGAGAAGCCTCCAAGTCCCTGGGTCACACAGTTAAGTGTTCAACTGTCATCCAAAAGGTTGGCAGTTTGAACCCATCAAGTGCCATGGTTTTTTGTGTAACTTCTGGCCTTTCTAAAAGGTCACTATCTTGAAAATTCCTTCAAGTGGCTCTGACTACAGTGGTGGCTGAACCGACTCTGCAGCAACTAATAGTAACAACAACTTCAGTGTTCCCCACCCATAGAATGGGAACAGGTTCTGAGTGGTGCAAGCTGGTTTTTTGATTAGCTACAAGCTGGAGAAGAGTATTGAGTACACCATGGACTGCTAGGAGAACAAACAAGTTTGTCCTAGAGCAGGCTGCTCCTTGGGGCTTTTTCTGACATACTTTGGGCATGTTGCAAGGAGGGACCAGTCCTTGGAGAACAACATCATGCTTGGGAGGGTGGAGGGACAGCGCAGGAGAGGAAGACCCTCGAATGGGGGAATAGGTGTGTCAGAAAATAAGGTTGGTTCAGGATAGAGCAGGGTTCAGAGCTGTTGTACATATATATGGTCACTATGAGTTGCAAATAACTTGATGGCATATAACAAAAAACAAACTTCCAAACTTACCCACCAGCGCTAGAGCAAAGAGGCCTTCCAGAAAGTTTACAGTCACAAAAACCCTAAAACATGGGTGACCAGGAGTCAGAATCTAGTCAAAGGCAACAGATATTTCGGGTTTCTTTGGCATGGAAACCTACAACACATTCTGAGTGGAGTAAATGAGGTGTTCTGGTGGCTCGGTCTGAAGGACCTCACTGGCGGTTGGATTCCACTCCCCACTGGAGAAAGAAGTGTGACCTACAGCCTCAAGCGCTCGGGGGTGTGGGTGGGGGGTCAGCTGGGAGTCACCCCTCGGCTGTGATGACAAAGGATAATTGCATTCCAGCCCATTAATTCAAATCTATTAAAATGACATGACCCTGACGCCATAAGATCGCAATGACATTTCCATTTACTTTGGATTATATGTAATTATAAATATTAACAAATAAGACTTAAAAAGGACACCTTTGGGTAGGTAAGACGAAAAGTACGAAAATCGTGGTGTGGGGCTGCAGTTTGAGGATGGTTTCTGCAGCCGTCACACGGTAGCAAAACGGTGTGAAGCAGTGCACGGGTCTGCGACAACAGCCAGGTCCATGCAGCGTTGAGCATCACTCGCTGGGAGAAGGGACAGGCTGAGACATGCAGGGCCCGGGGGCGCCCACCCGCAGCGCTGGAAGACAGGCCCTTGGGGATCTAGTGGAGGCGGTGAGCGGGATGAGGCCAGGGTGGGAGGTGGACATGCCCTGGTTACTGACACCTGATTTTGCAATGACATTTGTTTTCTTGGGGGCCGTCAGATTGCCCAACTCAGTGGTGCTGATAGATCAGAAGATGCCAGTTGGGGTCACAGGCAGAGCCAATCCTGCAGCTTCTCAATACTTTTTCTCCAACACTGCAGATTCAATCTAAACGGGCTTAGAACAGGCCCAGCTTTGTGAGGGCTCATCTCTCCCTGGAGGGCCTGCTGCTTCAGAGCTCCATCCTCCATGTGGGGTGATTTGTTGCATGTCCTGTCACCCTCCACTCTGACTGTACCCCTGGCCAGCCTGGGTTAGCTTTCAAGGCAAAGCTTAGGGCACTAGAAGTTTCGGGTTCTTGTCCCAGCTGGACCTCTTGTAATGACTGGGCCTCCATTTCCACAGGTGTCCAGTAAGGAAGTTGGAAGCTCATGACCTCTGTAGACTCACTATACAGCATGTCTATCTCCTTATAGATGCTGTGGTGGCTCCTCTCAGAACAAGCCCCTCAAAAGGCCAATACTATGAAGATACACAGAGCTTACCCAGATTTGAAAAATAAAACCTTTCTCTCTCCCACTTTTTTCCCCCAAACAACCCCTAATTCCACTTGTATGGAAAAAAGAGAGGGCCTGGCCTGGGCCACCTGAGGCTGAGGGGTGATGGAAATCTGGGGCATGCTTGCAGGTCCTACGGGGAAGCCTGAAGTGAGACAGGTGGTTGAAAGTTAGGAAGGGGACAAGGCGGCAGGCATGTAATGAGGTCCCCCCTCTTTCTGCATTAGGCACCAGAGCTTATAGAACCATCACCTGAGTTATCTCTGCTGAGCCCCCAGCAGGCTGAGAGAGGGGGGTGCTGGGCAGAACTGCCCCTAAAACCATCAGAGGATGTGGCATTCAGAGGACCTGGGTTTCCCCTTCCCAGCTGTATGACCCTGCAAATTGCTCAGCCTCTCTTAACCTCAGTTTCCTCACCTATAAAATGGGGAGGCAATCAAACCTATGAAATAAGGTTATAAAATTTCATTAAGATGATGGATTAGAATCCTTCCCATAATGCAAACCTTCTTAAAGATGGGGAAACTGAGGCTTCAAGAGGGACAGAGGTGGTCAGGTATGTTGGGAGAGGGCTGATGGGCACTTGGTGGAATTTGAACAATCACCTCAGGCCTCAGGTGGTGCTGTGCTTTTTGGCTGCCACAGATGGTCGAATCCTCATGCTCTCATGGGCCCTGACACTTGTGTCAGCATAGGTGGGCAGCAGGGGGTGAGACCAGGTGGGTAGCTAACCGGAGCCTCTTTGTGGGAGCCCAGCACCTTAGGGCCCGGAAGTCCAGTGTCTGTAGCTCTGGGCTGGGTGGGGTTTGGACCCAGGTCCCAGCTCTAGGAGGGCTGTGAGGCCTCAGGCAGGCTGTCTCCACCCCTGTGTCATGGTTCCCTCGCTGTGTGCTAGTGGTGGAACATGGTGAGCTTTGCAGTTCTGCAATTCCTTAGTTTGCACTTGTTCATCCAGAATTCCTGAAGTCCCCTGGGCAGGCAGGGAAAAGATTGGGGGCTTTGGATGTCTTCATCTCCTGCCTGGAAAGGCATCCCCCAGGAGAGCAGAGGCAGCTCCACAGGCTTTTCCAGAAACAAGCCCTGAGCACCCCTGAGAGGGACACCATTGCCCCCAGGGTCAGGATGCCTTCAGTGACTAGAAGGTCCAGATAGGGTTTGAAGAAGCAGGAAAGAAAGCAAAGAGTGAGGGAGGGGAAGGAAAGGAGGAACTTTGGACATTTTCTTAATTGCAACTGATCCAACAATTCTGTCTGAGGAGTCGGGGCAGGGCCGCCTCCTTGAGGTTTTTTTGGAGGATAAAGAGAGGTGGGAAAACTGAGTCCAGGACTGAACTTGACAATGCTCTAGCATCTGTTCCTCCAGGGAACTTCCTCTCGCTATGTTCTCGCACAAGTCCAGGCTGGCCTGGCAGCAGGTCAGGGTGGGGTCAGGGCAGGTTCCATTCTCCTGGCCCCACTCCTGTCCTAAAGGCCTTCCTCCTCAGAGGACAACCTTGGGGACCACAGCAAGCCTGGCATGGTCACCTTTCTCTCTCCAAGCCTTTGCAGCCCCTCCTCCTGCAGCTGCCTCTTCCCCTGGAAACTCACCCTTCAAGGGTTTCTGGAATTTCTGGAAACATAACCTCTTAAGGGAAGCTTTCCTCGCCCTCCAGCAGAGTCAGCACAACCGAAGGCACTTCTCAACTCCCTGAGGGCGGGCTCCCGTGTGTCCTTAGGCCCTGGAAGCCTTTGCCAATTTGCCCATGTTCTCTGGGAACCTTCTAGAAAGAACTCTGGGCTAACTTTTCTCTGCCTGCCCAGGAACACCACACATCAGCGTGCCGTCAGATCCTCCCTTTGGCTCCTTCTGAGGACAAAGCTCCTTCGATGTCCTGTCTGCCCTGTATTCTCGCTTCTCACCGTTCTTACTGCCCCACCTGTCACTCTTGGGTGCCCTGCCCTCCCAGCCTCAGCTGGGCCCTCCTGTGACTCACTGCTGAGGGTTCCAGTGCCTCTGGGTGGGTACTGAGGTCAAGGTCCTCTGGCCAGCTGCCAGGGCCCTCCACACAGGATCTCTGTGTCCAAGCAGGTGTCCTAACCTCCCCCAACGTGGGGGCGGTGGCCCTTGGTGGCAGCTAAGGAAGACCAGGTCCAGGCCCATGGGGGCCTGGGACGAGTGGGCAGGTGCAGCGGCCGGCGGGTGGTCAGTCGCTGAGAATGGCCCCTGGGAGTTCGTTGGTCAGCGTGTGCCAGCGCTCGATCCGCTTGTCCTTGTTCTTCAGGCAGTCAAACCAGTGCTTCAGGCGCTCACCCTTGGCGTTGATGCCCAGGACCACGCCGCCTGTGGGGCGGGAGGCGCAGCTCCAGGACCAGCTGGACTCCCAGGCACCCCTCTCAGCTCCCATGTCCGGCCTGGACTTCCACCTTCATGCTCCCCGTCTCCCTGCGCCGGGGATGGAGCACCCAGACACACCAGGAATCCAGGCTCATGAAAGCTTAGTTACTGAGCCAGCTGCCTGAGATAAGTGGCAGCACGACCTCCTGTCCCTGCTCCACTACAGACCACCGGTGGCCTGTGCAGTCCCCTCTTCCGCTCTGGCCTCAGTCTCCTCATTTGTCATATGCAGTCAGGCTGCCCAATCTCTGAGGGCCCTCACCGTCTCTGAGTGAAGCCCCAGCCTTCCCCAGAGGCCATGAAAAGGGGAGTCACTGCCCTTTGCTGAACCCCAGAAAGACACATGGGTTAACTATGGTGTGACCTTTCACCAGTGGGTAAATTCTTACCAATGAAGTCATTGGATTTTCCAATGTCGTAGTCCCAAACAGTGACCTCCAGCGTCTTCTTGGCCAGGTCCCCATGCTTAATCTCGTAACAGAACTCCTGGGGGCCAGAAGGGGGTGCTAAAGTAAATGCTACGGTGCCTGGGACGGTGCAGGGGCTGGGGGAACCCCATGGGGTGAGGAGGTCAGCGCATGGTGGTGGGTGATGGGTGGGCACTCAAAGAGCGAGCATGAACATTCAGATGGGGTCCTCTGGGGTTCCGCTCCAACCTCACTCTCCCCTTACACTGATTCTGCTTCCAAGAGACCCAAACCCTAAGCCCACGGCAATCAAGTCTATTCTGACAAGATCCCAAGAGCTTCTGAGTGGTCGCACCCATGTGACTCAGGGGTGGTGTAGCCTGTAACGAGCTGCACTGCCAGTGCAAAGGCCAGGCCCTCCCTATGCCTTGAACTCACCAGATGGGCACTCTCCTGTGGCGGTTTGTTCAGTGGAGGGTCACTGGGAGTCCTATGACTCAACAGCAGTGAGTCTGAGTGTGTCTGAATGCACACTGGACAGTCTTGTGCTCTTGGCTCCTCTCAGGGGTGACTCAGCTGCCCACGACCTTCTTGTGGAACACTCTCTCCCATCAGCTTCTGGGGCCTTCCAATATTGGGTACCCTAGTGGTCTCTGGAAGCTTCTATTTAGCCTGCTCTGTCCGCCCCAGAAGTGTTGATGTGGTTTAAGCTCTCCTGAGGTCCCTCTGTTCTTTTCCCCATCCTTATTTCTTGGAGGACACCTCCATCATGACTGTGACATTCTAAGTCTTTATGTTTAACTGTGTCCACTCCCTGGGTCTGGGGACCCAAGTATCCACTGGAACCTCAGTGTATCAGTGTCTCACATAAAGCTCACCCTTAGCTCCCTCACAATAACTTTCCTGGGCCCCACTATCCCCCTGCTTATCTCAGTGAGGAACCTGGGACTCTCCACACATGCCCAGCTTCCCCTGCCAAAGCGAACATGGCCACCATCCTGTCAGCTCGCTCCCTTCAGGAGCTTTGTAGCCTGTGCTGGGCTTTCCTCACCCTCTCTTTCCACCTCCACTGCTCACCACAGCCATTCAAACCCCAAATCCACCCCTCCAGTAGCTCTCTGCCTGCTCCATTGGCCTCTCCTACCTCATTGAACTCTGGGTTCAGGGTTTTCTTCTTTACTGCAGTCTTGTGTTTGGATTTCTTGTCCACGTCTGGCTTCAGGTATCTGCAATGACAACCAAGGGGCAGTTGGGAGGTGAGGAGAAGCAATAGGACTCTTGACTGAGGCCATAGGGCTTGGAAGAGCTTTCTATTCATGGAGAAATATTCCCAGACTCTCTTTTCAGCATAACCACTGGATATTCCCAACTACTTTGGGGGTGATCAGAAGAGACAAGGCTTTGAGTAGGACATTATGCTTGGTAGGGCAGAAAGTTAATGAAAAAGAGGAGAGTCCTTAGCCACATGTAGGGTCACAGTGGCTAGAACAATGAGCTCAAAGTAGAGTGATGGCGGGACAGCACAGGGACTGAGCAGTGTTTTATTTGGCTATGCTATAGTTTGCTCTTAGCTGGAACTTACTCTGTGATCCCTACTACCACCACCACCACTTTGGCTCACTAAGTGAGCTGACAGCTGCAGTGGGAGGAGTAAGTGCTCCCTTCATCAAAGGAACTTCCATTTACATGGCCATTACAGAAACTAACCATGGAGTCCCACTCATTTCCTAGGAAAGAAGTTTTTCTTTGTTTCTGCAAATCTTTTATTGCCCACTGAATCCAGAGGCACTGGGAAGAGGTCTGCAGGCAACAGCAGGGGCAGCTGGAGCCATGCAACAGGTTCTGAGCAGCAGAGTGGAGGTCTGTGGGCAAAAGGGAGCAAGGACAGGCCCTTCCAGGTGCTTAAGGCACATGGGACTTATGGCCCTCGGACCTATGCTAAAAACTAGCACCAAAAATGACTCTATGCCACTGTCTGTGCCAATACTCTTATCCAAGACCCCATCCTGCCACCATGGGTTTCAGCTGTGGTCTGAAAAGGCTGTACCGTCCCATGACATGTATATGCCTGGTTGTCTTTACAGGTACAACACCTATCTGTCAGTTCAATTATTGGGGAATGGTTTGCATGGTGCCAATTAAGATCTTAGATGTGTATGGATTGGGTGTTGTTATTTGCCCTTATTGATACGTTTGTCTGTCAGTCTGCTGTACTGCTGTGGTTTGTAGGGTGCTCTAAGGCTGAGATCTGTGCCACCAGTGTTTCAGGTACCAGAAGAGTCCCCTGTGTGTCAGAGCTCCTGGGTAAAGACAGACTAGGAAGAAGGATTGGCTATCCACTTCTGCAACGACAAGTCATTGAAAACCCTATGAATAGAGGAAGGTGGGTAGTTACAGTATTAGACATAGACCCCAGATAGGAAGCCACTAAAAATTAGGAGAAATGGCTGCAAGCAGCCATTAATAATTGGATACTGTGACCTCAGCAAAGGGCTCTAGTGTCTCAGAGATGAGGATGGCACAGGATAAGACAGAGGGAAGATCTGTTGCTCTTAGGGTTTCATGAGTCATAGTTGACTCAAAGGTACCTACCGAAAACAACAACAGTAGTTATGATTGAGGGAATTCTGGGTGGTTTAATGCTAAGGAGTTGCACTGCCAACGTAGCAGGTGGTTTGAATCCACCAGCTGCTCAGACACAGAAAGACAGACAACCTCTTTCTGTGTGATTTACTGCTTCGGGAATTAAAGAGGGTCCACTCTGAGTTGGTTCCTACTGGATGGTGCACAACAACAACAGCTCTCACCAAGGGAGCCCTCATGGTGTCATCCACAGAAAGCTGTGCCACTAACCCAAGCCTGTGAGTCTGTGGTGGTTCTGATCCGCCTCTCCCTCCACATCTCTTCCCGTGGGGTTTACACCCAGAAACCCAGCGGAGGCCCAGCTGTGGGTCGGAATCGACTCCATGATCAGGGCCCTCCAGCGAGCTGAGCGCCACTGCCTTGAAAAGCCTTACTGGTTTGAGAGGCAGAAAATGGTTTCTCACTGTTGCTTTACATTATGTTTTTGAAATTGTGATTTTTATAAATAATACTGGCTCATTATAGAAACAGAAAATTGGGGGTGGTGGGAGAAGCGACATATGCCCACACAAACCTGCTGGTGAACATTTGTAGCAGCTTTATATAATCGCCCCATATTGGAGAGAACCCACATGTTCTTCAACTGGGGAACAGATCGACCACATGTGTTTTATCCAGACTCTGAAACGACGTCAGAGCCACTAAGAAGCCTGGTGCCATGCAGGCGCCTCTGACTCACGACGCTCTGCGTGTGTTGGGTGAGCACAGCTCGGCAGAGTTCTCATCGGCTGCTTTTTCAGCAGTAGATCACCAGGGTGCCTCTGGGTGGACTTGAACCTCCAACCTTTCTGTTAGGAGTTGAGCGTGTTAACAATTTGCACCACCCAGTGACTCCGCACCGCTCTTGTCAGGACCTCCTGCCCCAGCACTGGAGGAGACTGCTCAGCCACCGGTGGATTTGAACCACTTGCTTTTGTGTTGGCAGCACAACTCCTTACCACTAGGCCACCAGAGCTCCCTAAATGGAAGAGAGGGGACTCAAACACCCCATTCTGGGGGCTTCTACGTAACCACCTCTGTCTCCCTAACACCTTCTAGAAGGGACTCTCCCCCTGGTCCCTTTCGTTTTTCCTGAGGAGAGGCCTGGAGAAGGAAGTGTGCTCCCAGGTGGCACAGCGAGCTGCGTCAAGTTTCCTCAGTTTTCTCTGGTGTAAAATGGAGATAAAAACAGAAGGCTATTGGGAATGCAGCCACAGCATGGTCCCTGCATGTCAGTGATTTATTTTTAAATAACTACTCTCACTGAGCAGAACTGCCCCCTAGGATTCCATACCTGTGAAATCTCTAGCAGACTGCTGCACCTCTCTTCTGCAGAGTGGCTGGGGGGTTAGAACCATCTATCTTCTACTTAAGGAGTGCTGGCGGCCTCCTCGGTAAGGAGTTGTGCTGCCAACACAAAGGCAAGCAGTTTGAATCCACTGACTGCTTTGAGGGAGAAAGGAAATCTCCTTCTGTGAAATTCACCGCCTCTGAAAGCAGGCGAAAGGGTCAATTATGACTTGGTTCCAACCCAGTGGGCAGCCTGGTCCACAGGGAGCCACACTGCGAACCCAGCAGCTAGACTTCTGCAGTCATTTGCATCCACCAGTGGCTCTGCGACAGAAAGATGGATGATCCCCTCTCGTTCGGTCCACAGCCTTGGTAACCCAATGAGGGTCAGCTGCCAGCTAGTTCTGACTCCATGGCTGTGAGGTTTTGCCAATTTCCATTTTGAAGACAAGTGCTTTAACCACAGTGCCACTTGGGGCTTTCTCCCCTATCCGCCCTATAGCACTGAGCACTTTCTATCCCTTTGTGGAACTTGGTGATGGACTTTTTCAGTGCTAAAGTGGGGAAACAGACATTTATCACCATGGACAGGGTTTATGGGGAAAAAAAGCCCCCCCCTTTTTTTTTCTCTTTAGCATCAACCATGGGGGTAACGGTAGATGGTCCCCTTCCCGGAGTCACAGAGGCCCTGCTGAGGATAAGGCCAGGAGCTGCCCCATTCAGGGTCTAGCCTACACTTTTATTTTCCCTGCTTTCAGCAAGGACAGGCCATGGGCGGGGCTTTTCAGAGGTGGAGACCCTGGAGCAGAGACCCATGAACAGCGGCTCCTATATCTCACCTGCATCAGCAGACTCGTGATTTTGAGGTAACTGTGGGGTCTGCAGGTGGAGCCTGGATCTGGTATAGGGGCCTCCTTGAGCGGCTTGTCTGTGGTCAGTCATACTGACCTGGCCTGAGGCGGGGGCAGGTGTTAGAAATATCAGCCCCTGACAACCACTAATCTACTTTGTGTCTCCATGGACTTGCTTGTTCTGGACATTTCACATGAGAAAGATCAGACCGTACGTGGTCCTTGTGACCAATTTCTTTCACTCAGCATGAAGTTTCATCCATGTGATTGCAAACAAGAAGAACTTCATTTCTTTTATGGCTGAATAATGTTCCACTATATGGGTGAACCCCATTTGGGTTATCCATTGATGGGACTTGGATTCTCTCCCATTTTTAGCTATAATGGATAAGGCTCCTATGAACACTCAAAATAATCTTTTTGTGTGGACATAACCTCTTAATTTCTCTTGGCGACATAATTAGGAAGTGGCAGTTAAGGTCTTTTCAGTCACTTGCTGTGCATCTGAAGTCTGGACAATGACTATGGATGACAGAAGAATTGATGACTTTGAGCTGTGGTTCTGGAGAAGAGTGCTGAATGGACTGCCAAGAGAGCAGACAGGTAAGTCCTGGGGAAAGTACAGCCAGGGTGCTGCTCCCATCAGAGGCAAGGCCAACAAAGCTTCACCTCACATACTTTGGGAATGTTGCTAGGGAGGTTATTCCTTGGAGAGGGACATCATTTTTAAAGATGGAGGGTCAGCAAAAGAGAGGAAGGCCCTTGATGAGGTGGACTGACACAGTGACTGCAGCAATGGGGTCAAGTGTGTCAGAGATTGTGAGAATAGGAGGGTCATTGTGTCTATAGGGTCATTATGAGTTGTATTCAACTCCATGGCATCTAACAATATGGGAATGACAGGAGAATCGGTGCCTTTGAGTTGTGGTGTTCGAGAAGAGTACGAATATCCAATGAACTGCAAAAGAATAAACAGCTATGTCTTGAAAAAGTGCAGTCAGAGTGATCCCTGGAGGCAAGCACAGTGAAGCTTTGTCTCATATACTTTGGGAGAGGTTTGGAAAGGGACATCAGACTTGGAGAAGTGGAGACCAACAAAAGACCTGTTGGATTGATACAGTGACTGCAGCAATGGCTTCAAGTGTGTCAGAGATGAAGAAGACGGCTCAGGATAGGACAGGGTTCAGATCTGTTGTTCATAGGGTTGCTGTGAGTCATTCTCAACAGCACCTAACAACACAAATACAGGAAATGAAGTTAAATAAGTCTGTGAGAGCGAGAACCTGAGTCTACCCCACCTGAATTTACAGACCATCTTAAGAATACCCTGGATGCACTGAACACTAAGGATTGAAAACAGGACAAGTTATGGGGTGATCAAACATGAAGGACATCAAATATAAAGAAAGCAAAATGTCATGAAAAAGATGAGGATGTCGGTTTACAGTTTTCTTTTTCAGTGA